CAGCATATTTAAAGGGTTACAAGTTAAAATTTTCTCTTTTTACATTGTAACTTAGTAATCACGGCCATTGACTTAGTTCAGTTATTCCCTTTTTCCCTTCGGAGTTCAGCTTCAGCTGGAGAGAAAAGAAAAGTCTTTAAAGAGTCAGCATATTTAAAGGGTTACAAGTTAAAATTTTCTCTTTTAAAAATTCTTGAGTTTCCTTATTTTAAGTTCACATAAGTGCTTATTCTCTAAAAATCAATTAGCACAGAGCTCTTGTAGATTCCAGGGGACCCTAAAATCTGATTTAGAAGTTTATTCTTTTTTAAATGTTAGATTTGTCTAAATGGGTTAGATATTCCTAAAGAGTGCATAAAATCAAAGCCTTTATCACTAACAAAAAGGCTAACCATTGCAGAACTGAGTTTTTGTTTCTCCTTTTATTTTAAAACTTCAGGGGGGTATAAAACTTACTAAAATGAAACTTTTCCCAAAAAGTTTCCTAAAATGGCCACTGTGATCCTAAACTATCTTTAATGAAAAACTGTTATTTATACCAGCCAGCTGCCGAAAAAGAAAAAGAAGAACTGTAATTTTAACAAATGGGTTCAGGAATTAGGGTTACAATAACAGAAACAATAGGAAGCAAGAATTCAGCCAGGAGGAGTTTGAGGTTAGACTCTGGGCATCATCCAATCCATTGAGGGCCTGAATAGAACAAAAAGGCAGAGGAAAGTTGAATTAACTCTGCCTGACCAATTGAGCTGCAACATCGATCTTCTCGGGACTCCTGGTTCTCAGGCCTTCAGTCCTGGATTGGAACCTGAACCACAAGCTCTCCTGCCCTCAGGCCTTTGAACTACACCACTGGCTTTCCTGGGTCTCCAGCTTGCAGATGTCAGATTGTGAGTCATCTCAGCCAATGCCTTATAATAGAATCTTTTATATATATATTCTATTTCTCTGGAAAACCCCGTTTCATACAAGAGAGGGAAAAGATTCTGGTTGTCTCTTAGACCAAACATGAGCAGCTTCAACATTCCATAAAATGGGTTTATTCTGGCATCCTAGTCCCTGGTGTGATTTTTAAAAGCTGAGATATATTCTGAAGCAGTTTGGAGAATAAAAGAAAAAAATTGAGATATAATACATATACCATAATATTTACCCTTTTAAAGTGAACAATTCAGTGATTTTGATTATGTTCACAAAGTTGTACCACCATCACCACTAATTTCAGAACATTTTCTTCACTCCACAATGAAATCCTGTACCCATTAGCAGTCACTCCCCATTTCTCCCTCCCCCAGCCCCTGGCAGCCACTAATCTATTTCCTATTTCCATGGCCTTGCCTATTCGGGACATTTCATATAAATGAAATCATATGCTATGTACCTAGCTATAAGTGGTCTATTTTCTTTCACTTAGCATAATGGCTTCAAGGTTCATCCGTGTTGTAGCACGTATCAATACTTCATTCCTTTTTATGGCTGAATAATAATCCATTGTATGGATATAACACATTTTGTTCATCCTTTATCAGGTAATTTGGGTTACTTAATTTGGATTATTTCAACTTTTTGGCTATTATGAACAACACTGTTATGAACACTCATGGACAAGTTTCTGTGTGGACATATGTTTTTATTTCTCTTGGATATATACCTAGGAGTGGAATTCTGGATCGTGTGGTAACTCTACATTCAAACTCTATGTTTAACTTAGGAAGAGAGATAGCTATAGGAACTGCCAACTTTTGCAAAGCGACATTTCCACAGCAATGTATGAGTGTTTCTTTTTAGGAACACTAAAATATCATGCTTCCCTAAAAAGACCTTCAGGAGCCTCCAAAATGAAGCAAACACAGATCATTCAGGAGAATCAAGAGGGATAAGTGATGCTGTCTTCATGCATACTCTGCCAGCTACCATTCCCATGGTGGGAATAATATAACTGGAAAAGGTTCAAAGCTTGTCTCTGACCTACCAGAAGTCATACACGACACCACTTCTGGTCTGAAAGCCCAACAAGCTAGTCTAAATTCATTAACTAGAGTTGTTGTGGACAATCATAAGGCCCTTCATTTCCTCTTAGTCTACCAAGGGAGAATTTGTGCTGTAGCAAATATTACTTGCCACACCTATATAAATACTACAAGACAAATAGAAAAAGCCACCTGACTCTCTAAAACAGACCCAACTGGATTCTGGGACTTTCTTCATTGCCTGGATTTCATAATCTAGGCCTTTGGTTTTGAGACTTATTACAAGGACTAAGATTTACTTTATTCTCATAATTGACTATGTTACAATTGGCTGATGTAGCCTGTCCAGAAGCTTAAATGCTACTGCACAGGCATTGTCACGTGAGATGGTCCACTAACTCATCCTATACCAGAAGAAGAAAAGTTTAATTCTGGTTCAATTACAGACTACTTTCAGTGGATGCTCAGCAAATCGATCTTAATCAGCAAAATCTTAGCAAGGATGAAAACCTAGATATAATGGAGACCTAACTTTGTCTATCCTTGACCGAAGAGGAGAACTGAGAAAGAACAGCTCACGACAGCTGGAACTGATCTGATGTTCACAGCTAGACCCTAATATTATTACAAGCTGATCTGATGATGCTTATAGGCCATTTTTTTTCTCCTGTTCTCCAGTTCTCTTCTCCCAGAACACCAACCTCAGACAAGGTTACTCTGCAACCATGATCAAAGAAAACAAAACAATGCCAAGCTGATCTGATGATGCTTATAGGCCATTTTTTTTCTCCTGTTCTCCAGTTCTCTTCTCCTAGAACACCAACCTCAGACAAGGTTACTCTGCAACCATGATCGAAGAAAACAAAACAATGTCCAAATCCAAAAAACAAAGCCAAAAAATCCATAAACAAAACCAAAGCCCGAATCCTATAATCAGTTCTTTCTAATATCCTCTTACTGAGACATTGCATGTTCTCCATGGTGTTTATCCTCCCTCACTGAGTAATAAATTTAACTTGCTTAACTACAGGTGTGTTCCTTGTAGTCTTTGGCTGATGCACATTGACAATATATATTAATTACATTTCTAAAAAGCAATACAAACGTGATGCATGAATGTGGCAACTCCTGGCCACTACACAATGCTTCAGGAAAAAGCTGGGCTGGGGTGGGGGAGGAGGGTCACATCCCAAGATGTGTTTCTCCTCCGCCCCTTAGTCATAGCAGCTGCTAGCTATGTGGGTCCACCCTCTACCCCTACTTGTCACAACTCTGCCATCCCTGATAGGCATTTCAGCATGAAATGTGAGCCACCAACTGCTCATAGGAGCCTGACAGTCAAAGGCCTTGTTCTCCACCTGTGATCAGCATTGGGTTCTGATACTGCTGCCAACCCTGAGTCAAGACATGAATGATGAGGAAAGATCACAACTTATGAGCCAAGAACTCCTCCCCCCAAAAAACTGTGAACAGAGCCTGCCACCTTGGGCTTCAGCATCTAATGGTATGAGCCCCAAGTGAGACTGCCTCTCATCCTCCAAGGAAGACTCAGGTAGCCCCAAGACCCAGAAACTTCTCCCAGCACCCACTCCTCCACGTGGCCCCAACCCTGGCTCTGGACCCCACCCTCCTACATGCATCAGTCTGGCTGAGCCCTGATCACCATGAATTAGATGATGCCCTTATGTCAGCTCCCTCAGCCAGTGTGGGAGGCTGTTGAAAGCAATGACTGCGTTTTATTCACTTTATACTCCAAGAGCCTGGTTCAGAGACTACAATGTCAGCTCCCTCAGCCAGTGTGGGAGGCTGTTGAAAGCAATGACTGCGTTTTATTCACTTTCTACCCCAGAGCCTGGTTCAGAGACTACTCCTCATCAGTGTGTGATAAGTTAGAGAGGAAGGAATTCAATGAAGGGAGACAATCTTGTCCCCCAGACTGCCTGAGAGCAGTGGCTTCACCTTTTCACTGCCACCTCCTCTTCCCCGTGGTAAAACCCAACACAAGATTAGGCTCAAGGTGGGCATGTAGATGAGTGTTGGCTTCATTCAAGATTCAAAAAATCTTCACCTACAGTATTTCTGGATAATACCTTTATTTAGCTCAAGTAGATGTTTCCTACACATTTCCAGATACTTGGGTTGGAATTTTCTCTAATACATTAAATAAATGGTCCTTAAGCTCTTATATATGATAAATGCAAAAATTCAAGCACAATGCAGGATAGAATAAAAAAGGCCATTTTGTACGAACATTAAAAATAGACATTTTAATACAGGGTGTAGAAAAGGGAGACCAGCAGAAGGTGATTTAAATACCACCTCCTCACTCTGACCCTGGTCCTGGGGTCTGGATATGTGCACTCCCTCTGCTGTCTACTCCTCTTAGACACAAGCCCCACCCATCCTGGACAGGAACAGGCACTTTCCAAGACCAGAATGCAGCCCTGTTTGTTCCTGCCTGCATGGATGGCAGAGGAAGTTGGCTCCACCCCAGGTACAGCATCCCACACTTGTGTGGTCAATTTGCTTAGCCTTGTTTAAACAGCAAGACCACCTCTGTGCCAGTATCCTAGGCTGTCTCTTCTCTTCATTCTTGGCAGCTCCCAGTTGTCAAAGAGATTGGATAATTCCTTATGTGGCCTGCTCGAAATGTTTCTCAATCTAGTCAGCATCCCCATAGAGCCAGCCAGCTGCTGGGTCCAGGGGCTTCTAGAGAACTCTTCAGAGATTCTCAGAGGCCTAAGGGCCTCTTAACCTACCATGCCTCCTAGCTCAAGCTCAACTTCAGAAGACCCCATTGGCTCCTGTGTGGCCTCTGCATGCACAGGGTCTATGGTCAGTAGGAAGAGGGGCAAGTTTGGGTAGGGGCAGGCATGATCCCTCAAGATTGCCCACAGCCCAGATAGCAAAAGATCAGCCAAACCAGTATCTGTGAGTTTCAGGCTGAAGCTTAGACTTCCCTGGGCCAGCCCCTTGGTCTGGTGCCCAGCCAGGCCAGGTAGACAGAGTCTAGGCTTCAAGGCTCTCGGGCTCCTAAGAGCGCATTTGCATTTGGAAGTACTCGCAGCGGGCATGCTTCATGGTTAGCCCGTAGATGGGGGTCATGTCCACCTTCACACCCGGCAGCACGCTGAATTCCACCTGCTGCAGCAGGATGGCCAGGAACAGAAAGACCTCCAAGCGGGCAATGGTCTCCCCGAGGCACTTCCGCTTGCCCAGGCCAAAGATAATCACCTTCTCACCCAGTGCCTTGTTGACAGTACCATCGGGGGTGAGAAACCGTTCAGGCTGGAACTCGGATGGGTTACTCCACAGCTTCCTGTAACCAAAGGGAGGCACCTGAAGTGGCAGCTTGGAGGCTCAGAAGCATTAAGTGGGTTGAGTCTCAGCCCCAAAGGATAGGGAATGGGCAAGTGACCCACAGACGAGAGGGTCTGAAGCCCAGGAGAGAGTGGGTCCAGCCAGCCTAGGAGTTTCCTCTGTCCCTCTCAACTTACTGGTCATGGTTGATCTGCCACTGGTTCACAAAGACACAACGCCCCTTGGGGATGTAAAATCCATTCACATTTGTATCTCTTGTGGTGCTGGGGAGGGAGGAAGCTCAGTCAGCCTCAGAGGCACAAGGGGATCTCCTGTCTCCCATGCCATGGCCCTCCCACTATCCCTAATCAGGTATGTGTACTGGAGTAAGACCCAATATCAGACAGCAGTAGATCTATGGAGCCTCACCTGTGCGGGATGGTGAAGGGAAGGAAGGAGGAGTGTCGGAAGGTCTCCAGAATGAATGCCTCCAGATAGGGCAGCTGGGGTCTGTCAGAGAGCCGGGGCCATCGCGCCCTGCCAATCACTGTGTCTGCAGAACACAAAGGACCAGATGGATTAAGAGGCTGCACAGACCTTGGCCAGGTTCCATGCCTTGAGCCCTTTGAAGGGACCCACCACTTACCCAGCTCCTCTTGGATTTTGCTTTGTACCCTGGGGTTTGTTACTAGGTACAGGAGGCTCCAGGAGATGGAAGTTGTGACTGTGTCAAATCCTGGACAGGGTAGAATGGAAGGAGAAGTTAGGCAGATGGTGAGTCAGGGCATTTGGGCATAGGAAGGGCACAATGGGGTAGTTCATACCAGCTCCAAAGAGGTCCAAGACAACACTAACAATCTTCTCGTCTGACAGCTGAATATTAGCATTCTCATCCAGTCTCTTATCCTGACAGTGCTTAATCAGGCTGTCTGTGATGTCCCGGATGTGGCCCTGGATCAGGAAGGCCCACAGGTGAGCAAGATCCCAAAGCCAAACCCACCTCTCCATCTAGGCCTGGTCCCTCACTATCTCTAGCACCTCTGTTCAAGAGGTGATGCCCCCTGAGGCTGCTATCCCAGCTTCTCTCTGCCTCTCCAAGGCTCTTTTTTCTTACCTTAGAACACTGGTAGCTTCAACTCAAGGGACACCTTACACAAAGTCTGGTACTGTTATCTCAAGAGGTGATGCCCCCTGAGGCTGCTATCCCAGCTTCTCTCTGCCTCTCCAAGGCTCTTTCTTACCTTAGAACACTGGTAGCTTCAACTCAAGGGACACCTTACACAAAGTCTGGTACTGTTATCATCTGGATGTGCTCTTTAACTTTTTTCTACCACAAGGACAGGTTACTTCTTTAACACTTCCTGGTCCCCACAACAACTGGCCCAGGGTTCTACGTGGGGTAGCTATTCAGTGGCTATTACTGTCTGATGGAAGCATATAAGGTCTGGTCAAGAAAAAGTTCTATATCCCTGCCAAGGATAAGGTTCACTCCACAACCAGCTTCAAAATCTCATAGAGAAGCCTCCCTGAGGACTTGCCAAACCTCATGCTCTCCCTCTTATCTCTGACCTCCCAGTCCCTGACCCTGCCTGCTTTCTACCACCCACCCACCTCTCCCCAGCCCATACCTTCTCAAACGTTTTGTAGTGCTCCTTGACTATCTTCTGCGTGAAGCTGTAGAACTTTTTATTCAGGTCCTTGAAGGCATCCAGAGCAGAGTTGGGCAGGTAACGGAGGACAGGGATGAAATCAGCTGGGTTTCCAGAGGCAACCACCTCCCCGAACTCATTACTCAGGTTGACTATGCTAAGGAGCTCTTCATGGTCGTGGTCATAGCGCTGGCCAAAGCATATGGCACAGATGACATTGGTCACCGACACCACCACATACTTGTAGGGGTCAAAGTGCCCAACCCTTGACATCAGCTCCTGGAACTTGCTGATGAGGGCTTCAGCCTCCTTGCTCACATGCTCCTCCAAGTAGCAGGAGGACAAGGAAGCTGGGTTGGAGGCAATGGAGAAACTTTTTAGGGCGTTCTGGGCTAGGCGCCGGCGAGCAGCCCACACCGGTCCAGAGTCTGGGTTGAAGGTCAAGCTCTGGCCATCAGTGATGAGGGTGAAGCTGTAGAAGTCAGGCCGGCCCTTGAAATCATCCCCCTGTCGCACCAGGGCCTGCCGGATGGTGTCCAGGCCACTTAGCACTACCACGGGTGTGGAGCCAATGCGGATCTGCAGCACGTCCCCATACTGCTGGCTCATCCTCGACAGCGCCAGGTGTGGGTTCTTCCCCAGGGTCAGCACATGCCCTATTAGAGGCCAGCCCCACGGCCCTGGTGGACTCTTCAGGCCTTTGGGAACTGGAGGCCTTGAGGCCCTGACCACCCAGAATACCAGGCAGAAGATGGAGGAAGCCAGGAGAAGCTCCGTGGCTGAGAAGGAGTTTTGGAGTTCAAACACAGAAAGCATGATCAGCGTAGGGATCTTTGAGGTGGCTGCTAAGAGGTGGGGCAAGAAGAAAAGATCAAGCCATCAGATGGGGGGATACGAGGAGCCAATACCTTAAAGTGTCAGCATTCTGGTCAAGGGATGGGGAAACCTTCCCACCCAGAATTGCTCACTGTGCATTAAGGGAAGGAAGAGGTGGGGGGAAACTTTGTCAAGCTGTCACTGTGTACCAAGAATTTCACAGTCATTCTTCATTCAGTCCTGGCCACAAACCTATGAAGTAGGCTGCAGTGAGGCTCACAGAGGGTAAGTAACTTGTCCAAGGTCACACAGCCAGGAAGCGTTGCATACAAACTCTCAAAGCAAGTTGCCTAATTCCAGAGCAGTTTAAGAGAACTTTAACTGTTCTACCTATCTAAAACAGTGTCTTCCAATGTCAAGCTGTGATTTCCATATAGCACCAGTACTATTATTTACTTCACATTTTCCTGAAATCACCTTTAATCCACCCACATAGCATCATCCTAAACAGTAACTGTGTGAAAGTGCAGCTTTGATTTTTTTCCCAACACATTAAAATAAACACATAATCAATGTGTTTCACCCCAAATCCCCTTGAATTCTATCCACCACACAGGAAAACCATGCTATCAGGGGAATTAGGGGTCATCCGTTCCTTTAGTCTCATTTTGCATTTGGGGAACTTGACTTCCAGAGGGGACACTGACTTGCTTAAAATCACCCAGCAATTAGTGACAGAGGCAGGACTCAGACCTCATAGGGAAAGTTCCCAGAGTGGTCAGATCAATAAAAGAATTTTTCCAAAACTCTCAGTTCTCCACTGCTCAGTCTCAGGATCTAGAGAATCCTGCCAGACCCTGGAGCAAGGTGGGATGGGGAGGGGACATGGATGCTACTGCCCAAGCCACACTGCTCTCAGCTCCAGCTCTGAGCTCAACTGACCCACAGTTTAAAAGCAGCTAGAGACCAGCTAGATTGAGCACCCAGTCACAGAAATCCAGGCCAGGGTTTTTCTTGGGCTCAATTCTCAATGAATGAATTTTGTGGGCCTCTCCCTTTTGCTGTCACCAGAGAGCAGAGAATAAATGGAAGGGTCCCACCAGGTCAGGGCTGTAAGAAAACTCCAGACTAGAATCAGGGAAATCAGGAATGGATCTGAACTTAACAGAAGCTGAGGCAATACTTTCTAGGCTTGGTCTAGAAACGTTGTGCAAATTAATAGACCACTTTCTCCAAGGCATTGGGCTCTGCCTTGGGCATCTGCCTGGTGCCCTGGACTGGAGGTCAGGAGACTCAGTGTTCCAGTCCAAATAGCCTTGGACTAATCATTTTACCTTTCTGGGCTCCAATTACATCACCTAAGAGAGAGAGTGGGACAAGATTTTCCAATTCAGAGTAGGCAGCTGGATTCTAAGGAAGACCCAGATCCACCCTGGGGAACTTCACAGTTTTACGGGAAAGGTTTTTCCATAGGATAACCCCACAACACAGGGAGATGTATGATTCCTACCTCAGGTACTATAGCCACCTCATTGTGTAGGGAGGCTTCCTGAAGGAGCTGAATCATAAAGCACACTAGATCTCTGATTCCCTGAATGAACCAGGGACTCTGCCAGGTCTTTGTGTGCTATGGTGTCCCTTTTTGCACAATGGGTGCCCCAAGGATCTCCAGCCTTTGTAAGATAGGAGGCCAAGGGAGATGTGACTGGTGAGTTTTCAGAGAATGGTGTTTCCAGTTCCCTGCAGCTGGCAGTCTGTCACACTGATTGCCTCCCAACAAAGGACAGAGAAGACAGTCAATGGGATAGGGAAGTCCCCTGGGTAGTGCCCAGGACTCCTGCTCAGATGAGCCTCTCTTGTCCGGGCCAGACATCTCAGCTCTGACAAGCCACCCCTTGGGAGGGTAGAGCCCACCAGTGGTAGCTTGTAGATAGGGCAGGGTATAGCTGGTAAAAACCCAGCCCACTTCCTCCATCTAGCCTGCCCACCCAGGGAGAAGCCTCCCTCATCACACAGCCTGAGGAAGGGATGCACATGCTCCCAGCTTCCCTCAGCTGTGTCCTCATTCCAGCCTGCCAGGTGACTCTGATGGGGAAGCCTCAAGGTAGACAGAGATAGTAGAGGATGGAGCTGGAGCCTAGGTCCTACCGTCCTGAATGGGGGGCCATGCATATCTAGAGGTCTGATACTAGCTGTGGGACCTTGGGCAAGTCCTGCTCTTCCTCTGGCCTCAGTTTCCCCTCTCAGGGACTGGACTGCTTGGTCACTAGGGACACGCTAAGCTTCCTTTTTTGGAGGTGCTAGGCCAGTGGCTACCTAGGAAGACCTGGAGGCACCAAAATTTTCCTTTTATTGGGAGGGTAGGGCAAGCCAGAAACCCCCCCCACACACACACACACTCACCTGTGGCGGTGAGGAGGTGCTGAGCTGAGCCGGGAAGAGTAGGAAGACCTGGAGGCACCAAAATTTTCCTTTTATTGGGAGGGTAGGGCAAGCCAGAAACCCCACACACACACACACACACTCACCTGTTGCGGTGAGGAGGTGCTGAGCTGAGCCGGGAAGAGTGGTCTCTGGAGCCAGGGACCCCAAGGAGGATCAGGAAGGCTCCAAGGAACTGCCACCTTCAGCGTGAGGGCAAAGGCACCACCACCTTTATAGGCAGGCCCTTGCGTGTGGCCACACCTCCTTCTCTATTGGTGATGTGACAGAGGGAGGGGTTGCCTAATGTGGGGTGATCACTCTAGGATGGAAGGGGGGGTGCGGTGGAGACAGGCCAGAACCCACTATGGAACCCACCTCATCTAGGTGCCAGTACGTAAAAGGGTGGGAGCTGGGGACACCTGGGACCCCCAATTCCAAGGCACCCCATGGGCAGCACAGAACCCAGCCGAAGCAGGGGTTTGAGGGAGAATTCCCAGGACAACCCAGAGAGAGGGTATGAGGGGGCTCCGTGCCAGGGCACGAGTACTCGGCTCCATGATTTTTGCACCCACGGGAACACCAGGCGTGCAACTGCCTTCCCCTCACTACTAGCCAACGTGCGCCAGGCAGGCAGGGGCGGGGCTGTCCTGTGGTGACCTCTTTCCCCCGTGTTACTGAGTCCCGGCTCGCGTGAGAAGCGCGGCGACCCCAGCCCCGAGGTCATGGGGGCCGGAAGGCCAAAGGCGCCGCTGGGCTGGCCCTGTCCCCTAGAGCCGGGCGACTATCCGAAGTTCGAGCTTGTTGATCGAGGGGCGGGAAAGGAGGAAGGACGTGCAGTCTCGCTGAGTGCTCACTAGCGTCTCGGCGCTGCCTCTAGGGTCACCTTGGGCATAGTGCAACCCAGGGATACCTCCGGCCGGGACCCACTGGCCCGCGAGGTTCCCTCTTGGCTCCCGGGGTTGCTGGCGCTTTGGTTGGCGGGGCCGAGATCGGGCGGCGGAGGAAAGGGGTGGAGGGAGGCCCTGGGCGCGGCAGGGGGTGGAGGGGCGCAGGGACCGGGGAGGGTCC